CTGACCCTACTACAGGACGGCCATACTACAGGACGGCAATACTACAGGACGGCCACTCACCCTACTACAGGACGGCCACTGACCCTACTACAGGACGGCCACTGACCCTACTACAGGACGGCCATAGACCCTACTACAGGACGGCCACTGACCCTACTACAGGACGGCCACTGACCCTACTACAGTACGGCCACTGACCCTACTACAGGACGGCCACTGACCCTACATAGGACGGCCACTGACCATACTACAGGACGGCCACTGACCCTACTACAGGACGGCCACTGACCCTACTACAGGACGGCCACTGACCCTACTACAGGACGGCCACTGACCCTACTACAGGACGGCCATACTACAGGACGGCCACTGACCCTACTACAGGACGGCCACTGACCCTACTACAGGACGGCCATACTACAGGACGGCCACTGACCCTACTACAGGACGGCCATACTACAGGACGGCCATACTACAGGACGGCCACTGACCCTACTACAGGACGGCCATACTACAGGACGGCCATACTACAGGACGGCCACTGACCCTACTACAGGACGGCCACTCACCCTACTACAGGATGGCCATACTACAGGACGGCCACTGACCCTACTACAAGACGGCCATACTACAGGACGGCCACTGACCCTACTACAGGACGGCCACTGACCATACTACAGGACGGCCATACTACAGGACGGCCATACTACAGGACGGCCATACTACAGGACGGCCACTGACCCTACTACAGGACGGCCATACTACAGGACGGCCATACTACAGGACGGCCACTCACCCTACTACAGGACGGCCACTGACCCTACTACAGGACGGCCACTGACCATACTACAGGACGGCCATACTACAGGACGGCCATACTACAGGACGGCCACTGACCCTACTACAGGACGGCCACTGACCCTACTACAGGACGGCCATACTACAGGACGGCCACTGAGCCTACTACAGGACGGCCACTGACCCTACTACAGGACGGCCATAGACCCTACTACAGGACGGCCACTGACCCTACTACAGGACGGCCACTGACCCTACTACAGGACGGCCACTGACCCTACTACAGGACGGCCACTGACCCTACTACAGGACGGCCACTGACCATACTACAGGACGGCCACTGACCCTACTACAGGACGGCCACTGACCCTACTACAGGACGGCCACTCACCCTACTACAGGACGGCCACTGACCCTACTACAGGACGGCCACTGACCCTACTACAGGACGGCCATACTACAGGACGGCCACTGACCCTACTACAGGACGGCCATACTACAGGACGGCCACTGACCATACTACAGGACGGCCACTGATGCTACTACAGGACGGCCACTGACCCTACTACAGGACGGCCATACTACAGGACGGCCATACTACAGGACGGCCATACTACAGGACGGCCATACTACAGGACGGCCATACTACAGGATGGTCACTGACCCTACTACAGGACGGCCATACTACAGGACGGCCACTGACCCTACTACATGCCGGCCACTGACCCTACTACAGGACGGCCATACTACAGGACGGCCATACTACAGGACGGCCACTGACCCTACTACAGGACGGCCACTGACCCTACTACAGGACGGCCACTGACCCTACTACAGGACGGCCATACTACAGGACGGCCACTGACCCTACTACAGGACGGCCATACTACAGGACGGCCATAGACCCTACTGCAGGACGGCCACTGACCCTACTACAGGACGGCCACTGACCCTACTACAAGACGGCCACTGACCCTACTACAGGACGGCCATACTACAGGACGGCCATGCTACAGGACGGCCACTGACCCTACTACAGGACGGCCACTGACCCTACTACAGGACGGCCACTGACCCTACTACAGGACGGCCACTGACCCTACTACAGGACGGCCATACTACAGGACGGCCATACTACAGGACGGCCACTGACCCTACTACAGGACGGCCATACTACAGGACGGCCATACTACAAGACGGCCATACTACAGGACGGCCACTCACCCTACTACAGGACGGCCATACTACAGGACGGCCACTCACCCTACTACAGGACGGCCACTCACCCTACTACAGGACGGCCACTGACCCTACTACAGGACGGCCACTGACCCTACTACAGGACGGCCACTGACCCTACTACAGGACGGCCACTGACCCTACTACAGGACGGCCACTGACCATACTACAGGACGGCCATACTACAGGACGGCCATACTACAGGACGGCCATACTACAGGACGGCCACTGACCCTACTACAGGACGGCCACTGACCCTACTACAGGACGGCCATACTACAGGACGGCCACTGACCCTACTACAGAACGGCCACTGACCCTGCAAACGCTCACAGTTGACCAAGCGGCTTCACGCCACCGGTCAAATCCTGGCGGGAAATGGACCGTTAGAAGAACAAAAGCGTCGAGGTCGTCTGCTAATCCGTCAGCCACACAGGATGAAACAACAGACAATTTAACAGATCACGCGCCAAAGTTTAGGTTATAAATAGATCACCTCCATTTGACCTCGAGAAAAAAGTATCCTAGAGATACTGACCCTCACATACTAACCGAGCGCTCTACCACCGAGCCACACCCCGTATCTGTAGATACAAAGACAGTAGAGCTAGTATGACTAAAGCTTGCTTGAGCTGTCGATATACGCTAGTCTTGGAGCTAAACCGTCAGCTGTCTATATCCTCTAGTCATGGAGCTAAACCGTCAGCTGTCTATATCCTCTAGTCTCGGAGCTAAACCGTCAGCTGTCTATATCCTCTAGTCATGGAGCTAAACCGTCAGCTGTCTATATCCTCTAGTCTTGTATAACTGACCAAAAGTTAAACATATCCGATTGAAACCACAACTTCAGACTCAAGAATTTTTGAGTAGGGCCTACTGTTTCAGCTAGATAACGAAATTTCACATATAAGTAAAAGATCTAATTCTCTGCCTTCTTTCACATTTTGAGTAATTTCCGTTGAACGGAACTAGTACTTTACGCTATTTCCGATTTCTCATAAAACAATGAATATGAATTTATAAAGTACTAATACTATTCCGCACTATTATACACATATTGTTTGCCGTTCAATTGCTGCGCAATTTTTTTCTACGAGATTATATTACATTTATAAAAGTTTAAGTAATTAAAAATGGATTAAAAATCATGTCTATATTCCGAGTTGCCATCCCCCGTAGTGTTCTATGAGAATATTCGAGAAAGTTTAGGGGAGATCACTCCCGTTTTATTTCCCCCGTGACTTCTTTTCCCTTCACCTTTTCTTCGAGGCGATTGTAATGGGAACCATTACCTTCCCATGGACGGGGTCTTTTTGTCTCAGTCCCCTTTGACGGGGTCGATTACCAAAGTCTATTTCTGGCCGTTCTGATGACGTATGTTATGTCACATGTGAGTGTGAGTGTACAGTTTTTACGTGACCTAATACAACAGCTGGAGCTAAACCGTCAGCTGTCTATATCCTCTAGTCTCGGAGCTAAACCGTGAGCTGTCGATATCCTCTAGTGTCGGAGCTGGGGACGCAAATATCACATTCTCTAAGGCTAACACAACAGTCTCACACTTAGTCAACACAAGTATTGAAAGTATAAGCCGGTAACTTTTAGTTTCACATTTTTATTTGCATTCAAGGAAGACATGAGCCAGCATTGATAACATAAATTAAAAAGTTTGTATTTATAAAATGTATAAAACGTGTAGACTATGGCGGTAGGTGACGTCACCTCACTTCTGCAGTAGAAGGGAAGTGACGTGCAATCAATCATCACAGAGTATTTCTTTAAGTTACTTTTATCAAAGGTATCACTTCAACATTTACCAAAGGTACCACTTCAACATTTACCAAAGGTATCACTTCAACATTTACCAAAGGTATCACTTCAACATTTACATCAGTCGTGCCAGTTCATCAGCTAATTAAAATAATTAAAATGTATGACGTCAGAGGAACGTGCCAATCGACACGAGCAGATTAACATCAAAGTCTGGTTTGTTTAAAAAACTGGATCAATCTATGGCGGTTTAAAGCGCAGTTGGACGTGACTAGCGATAAGGTTATCGGCAGACGATAAACTAGTCGTCTGCTGGTACACGCAGACGTGACCCCAGACATGTCACACATTTCAATAAAACATTTTATCAGAACTTTTTGGTCGGCCTAGTGAGTCATGCCAGCAAATTGTCACCGTTAAAACCAGCACCTTCGTACACCTTCATATCCCAGTCCCCATATAAATCTAGCTCTAGCTGTGTGTCTATTAAATCTAGCTCTAGATGTGTCTATTAAATCTAGCTCTAGATGTGTCTATTAAATCTAGCTGTAACTGTATGTCTAGCTCTAGCTGTGTCTATTAAATCTAGCTGTAACTGTGTGTCTATTAAATCTAGCTGTAACTGTGTGTCAATTAAAACTTTCAGTCCAGATTTGATTTTAAATTTCTTCAAAAAGTTGGACTCAAGTTTCCGATGACAATTCGTGTTGACCTTGAAAGTTTCTTGACTGACGCCCTTGTAAGTAGGTCAAAGTAACAACATTAACATACAATAAAAACAATTGGATGAGTCACAGTTTTATATGTAGGGTTATGTTGTATGTCTTATGTCCTAAGGTCCAGTGGTAGGTCTGTATGTCCTAAGGTCCAGTGGTCTGTATGTCCTAAGGTCCAGTGGTCTGTATGTCCTAAGGTCCAGTGGTCTGTATGTCCTAAGGTCCAGTGGTAGGTCTGTATGTCCTAAGGTCCAGTGGTCTGTATGTCCTAAGGTCCAGTGGTAGGTCTGTACGTGTTGTGGGTAAGTTTCTAAGGTCAAGGTTGCCGCCTGTGACAGGAATAAATAGCCGAGTAATATCAGAAAGATCCAGAAGATGGCGTGACCTTGACATACACATATGTGACCTCAAATATTATAGCAAACCGTTGTCACACATACACAATTCAATCACTCACACACCACCATCAGCAGACGTGAATGACTAAATTAGTCACCTCAGCAGACGAGACTGACTAAATTAGTCACCTCAGCAGACGAGACTGACTAAATTAGTCACCTCAGCAGACGAGAATGACTAAATTAGTCACCTCAGCAGACGAGAATGACTAAATTAGTCACCTCAGCAGACGAGAATGACTAAATTAGTCACCCCCGACTGATACCACAGTATCATAAGATAAAGATGCTAAAAGTAGACACGGTATTTAAAACTCGGGTGTCAAGCCTGCATTCTGTTGGGCACGTAACATGTTTACAACTGGGTCACCACCTGACCCTAGGTCGGTCAATGATATCTGGATAATCCAAACTTGGTCATTTCAACAAATGAAATCTGGTCATTAAATTACAACACATACTCTATATACACACACACACACATACATATATACATATATACACACACGCGCGCACTCTAGCTGTCATAGTCTGACACCCGTTACATGGAGTGTATACAGAAGTCATTTGGCTGTATCATCCATTGGATGAAGTCAACAAAGATGAAACATCACAAGATCATGGAGGATGGAACATCACAAGATCATGGAGGATGGAACATCACAAGATCATGGAGGATGGAACATCACAAGATCATGGAGGATGGAACATCACAAGATCCTGGAGAACGAGACATCATCAGCTCTCCGTCTTGTGGCTGGTCGATTAAAGCTAAAACTTGAGACTAGTTCCGTGTTGAGAAAGTTGCGGGTTCGAATCCTCTGTCGTTTGCAACCTTATTTAGTTGGTCGGATGCTATAAATAGCACGTGTCGTAAGCCGCACATGAGTGAGTTGTTAGTGGACAACACACCAAATAATGTTGAGCAAGTGACGTATGTCCGGTCACTCACACATTCCAGATGACGTCATCACTGGCGCTTGCTTCGTGGATTCCGGAATCAAAAGAATTCTGATCTCGTTCATGTCGGATGACGATTGGTCCGCTGTTGATCACGTGACCCCTGCTGGCCAGCTGACTGTACCAGACGTTACTGACAGAGCCCGGGGGGTCGGGCCGTGGCGCGTCATCCTGCGGACAGCTGACCCTGTCGGCTGGACGTCTGCTGGAGTTGGCGTTCTGGTCGACGACATTCTTCTCGACATCTGAAGCGACGAGTGTGGTCAGCTGCCTGTCAGTGGTCAGCTGTATGTCAGTGGTCAGCTGTCTGTCTGCCAGCTTGACCAGGTCATCGTCCGACTCGTACATCTCCGTGTCCGAGACTGACCAGTTGCTGCCCACGTCTCTGCTGGACAGCGAGCTGCAGCTGTAGTACTGTCGCTGCCACTTGAGCTCCTCGATGGTCTCGTTCAGGGTCAGCAGCTGCTTCATCAGGGACAGGTCCTGGTCCATCAGCGACACCTGGGGACACAGACAGGACAGGTTAGGGGTCAGCTGTTAAGTGGTTGGGGACACAGACAGGACAGTTAGGGGTCAGAAGTTAAGTGGTTGGGGACACAGACAGGACAGGTTAGGGGTCAGCTGTTAAGTGGTTGGGGACACAGACAGGACAGTTAGGGGTCAGAAGTTAAGTGGTCTTGGTAAAAAGTGACCAAAAGTTAAACCAGTTGTGTACAAGAAATCTGATTGGCTAAACGTGTGAGTTGTTGTGTGCTCGCGTGCTGTAGGTCGTGCGCTATACACAGCTGGTTGATAAAGGGATTTTTAAACAGAAAACGTATAAATGGTCTGGTGTTACACCATACTTTTGCAACAGGCTGCGAGCAAGCTAATGACTCATTAAACAAATGGCCAAATGTTGCACCATACTTTAGCACCTGATGTCGCATACTTTCTCATTACAAAATACAACTTGATTGCGTCATTCTCGTGTGATGAAAGGAATTCGGTCGATGTATTATACCAGTCCCCAGGATGTATTATACCAGTCCCCAAGATGTATTATACCAGTCCTCAGGATGTATTATACCAGTCCCCAGGATATATTATACCAGTCCCCATGATGTATTATACCAGTCCCCATGATGTATTATACCAGTCCTCAGGATGTATTATACCAGTCCCCAGGATGTATTATACCAGTCCCCATGATGTATTATACCAGTCCCCATGATGTATTATACCAGCCCCCATGATGTATTATACCAGTCCCCAGGATGTATTATACCAGTCCCCATGATGTATTATACCAGTCCCCATGATGTATTATACCAGTCCCCATGATGTATTATACCAGTCCCCAGGATGTATTATACCAGTCCCCAGGATATATTATACCAGTCCCCATGATGTATTATACCAGTCACCCAGGATGTATTATACCAGTCCCCAGGATGTATTATACCAGTCCCCATGATGTATTATACCAGTCCCCAGGATATATTATACCAGTCCCCATGATGTATTATACCAGTCCCCAGGATGTATTATACCAGTCCCCAGGATGTATTATACCAGTCCCCAGGATGTATTATACCAGTCCCCATGATGTATTATACCAGTCCCCATGATGTATTATACCAGTCCCCAGGATGTATTATACCAGTCCCCATGATGTATTATACCAGTCCCCAGGATGTATTATACCAGTCCCCAGGATGTATTATACCAGTCCCCAGGATATAGCCACAAAAATCCATCACCTTTATGCACTGACAAACCAACGTACGGCGACACGGCACCCCCCCCCCCCCCCCCCACCTGTGTGTTTGCCAGCATACCTCGGTCCTTTACCTGAGCCACTCACCTGGCCACTCACCTGGCCACTCACCTGGCCACTCACCTGGCCACTCACCTGGGGCCACCTCGCTGGGACAACAACGCCGTGTTGTATCTAGTTATGCAGAAGGTAATTTTGTGAGGGGGGGGTAAGTGGTGTAAAATGTCATTTTTGTCATTTACATGTCATCAAAGACATCCAGCCCGGCATTAGCTTGCTTGCACCACGCCCACGCTAATTAACGAGGTGGCGAGTTAATGAACCAAGCACATGTCTCGAGGTGGACCCGCTTGGGGCCCGTGCGGGGCCCCGTGGACTGGGTCCTGCAGGTCTAGACGGGGCCCTAATTATTCCAGGTGGCGCCAGGGAGCGTGTCACATGACTGCTGTTGCAGACTGTGGCGTGATTAGCCTGACCTTTAACCCGGTGCCAGTGGTGCCACCATGTCAGGTATGTCAGGGTTCGTGTCATGTCATTTGGTCAGGGTTCGTGTCATGTCATTTGGTCAGGGTTCGTGTCATGTCAGTTGGTCAGGGTTCGTGTCATGTCAGTTGGTCAGGGTTCGTGTCATGTCAGTTGGTGTGGGTTGTAAGGGGCAGGTCCTAGTTAGAAACTTTACATGACGATAGAACAAAATGTAACTTTCAAATGTAAACACAGATGACGTGAATACCTCTAATGAAAGCTGCATGACCCGTCTACACACACGTTGTGGGCTACACACTATCACAGCGTAACAACAATCATACAAGAAGTTACATTAAACCCAAGCAGAACCTCAACAACACAAGACCGGCCATCCGAAACCTCAACAAAACATTAACTATCTAACTGGAGCATCTACCCTAGTGCCAAGCGGCATAACTCCCCCCCCCTCCCCGGGTCACCCGCCCCCCCCCCCCCTTGCATACCGGCAGTGAGGTGGAGCGAGACTCGAGCCATATGAAACCTGTGGCGTCTAGAAATGTCCGCCATCTAGGCAAGGTTAGATCATTGACATCTTTGGAGGTTACGTTAATGGACGGGGGGAGGGGGGGGGGGAGGGGGTGAACCAGTTATCAACTAATTGGTTCACATTATGTCATCAGTTCATGTTTCCCCCTCCGGTTGTGACTGTCCGTCCCCCCGTCCCCGTCCCCCCCTCGGGTTGTCCCAAGGCACTATCTGTTGGTGTCTGTGATAGTGACTAGCTAATTTCCCCGCGTCATTCAAGTGGTCAGTGGAGCTTTATTTCTTTGAAGTGCGTCACAAAACTTGACCAACCTCTCAACTTCATAAGTCAGATGATTGTTACATTTGATGCGCAGTTTGGAAACGACAAAGTCCAACGAGATCACGTGACTAAATCCTCTGAATACGTGGGGTGGTTGGTCTAGAAAGGTGGTTGGTCTAGAAAGGTGGTTGGTCTAGAAAGGTGGTTGGTCTAGAAAGGTGGTTGGTCTAGAAAGGTGGTTGGTTTAGAAAGGTGGTTGGTCTAGAGAGGTGGTTGGTCTAGAAAGGTGGTTGGTCTAGAAAGGTGGTTGGTTTAGAAATGTGGTTGGTCTAGAGAGGTGGTTGGTCTATAGAGGTGGTTGGTCTAGAAAGGTGGTTGGTCTAGAAAGGTGGTTGGTCTAGAAAGGTGGTTGGTCTAGAAAGGTGGTTGGTCTAGAAGGGTGGTTGGTCTAGAAAGGTGGTTGGTCTAGAAAGGTGGTTGGTCTAGAAAGGTGGTTGGTCTAGAAAGGTGGTTGGTCTAGAAAGGTGGTTGGTCTAGAAATGTGGTTGGTCTAGAACGGTGGTTGGTCTAGAAAGGTGGTTGGACTATAAAGGTGGTTGGTCTAGAAAGGTGGTTGGTCTATAAAGGTGGTTGGTCTAGAAAGGTGGTTGGTCTAGAAAGGTGGTTGGTCTAGAAAGGTGGTTGGTCTAGAAAGGTGGTTGGTCTAGAAAGGTGGTTGGTCTAGAAAGGTGGTTGGTCTAGAAAGTGGTTGGTTTAGAAAGGTGGTTGGTCTAGAAAGGTGGTTGGTCTAGAAAGGTGGTTGGTCTAGAAAGGTGGTTGGTCTAGAAAGGTGGTTGTGTCACCCTTGTTTCAAGCAGTAGCAACACAACTGACCAATGTCAGGTGACCACTGGTGCCCTCTGCCTACAAGAACTGACCAATGTCAGGTGACCACTGGTGCCCTCTGCCTACAAGAACTGACCAATGTCAGGTGACCACTGGTGCCCTCTGCCTACAAGAACTGACCAATGTCAGGTGACCACTGGTGCCCTCTGCCTACAAGAACTGGCAAATGTCAGGTGACCACTGGTGCTCTCTGCCTACAAGAACTGGCAAATGTCAGGTGACCACTGGTGCCCTCTGCCTACAAGAACTGACCAATGTCAGATGACCAATGGTGCCCTCTGCCTACAAGAACTGACCAATGTCAGGTGACCACTGGTGCCCTCTGCCTACAAGAACTGGCCAATGTCAGGTGACCACTGGTGCCCTCTGCCTACAAGAACTGACCAATGTCAGGTGACCACTGGTGCCCTCTGCCTACAAGAACTGGCCAATGTCAGGTGACCACTGGTGCTCTCTGCCTGCAAGAACTGGCCACTGTTAAAGATGTCCTTTGAAATTGACTGTAACCTATCTACGTGCCCAGCAGAAATCTATTTTAACTGGCAGTCTCGTGAGATTTTGTGTGTGTGAGGGGGGGGGGGGGGGGTGTTGGAGGCGTGGGGGGTCTTATGTGTTTACATTCTGACCCCTTTTGATAGATCGGCGAGTCCACTTGACCGCGTGACTTTGACCGGTCCACAAGTTCCTGGAGCATCCATCGATCGAATATGGGGAGGGGGAGGGGAGGAGGGCTGCTCGAAGGCGAGTTGTCTGGATCGGTTTGACACCCTTTATAAAAACCGTTGGATCGGGTTAATGGACTAGGAAGGGAAATAACTTGTGTGGTATAAAAAAAATGGTAGCCACACCAAACGTAAAGCCTTAAACCTACACATGACTTAAACCTACACATGACTTAAACCTACACATGACTTAAACCTACACATGACTTAAACCTACACATGACTTAAACCTACACATGACTTAAACCTACATACGACTTAAAGTCCATATGGTCAGAACCAGCTGTTGTAGGAGAGAATGTGAACTGAACCAGCGAAGTGTGACCAGATGTGTTCTGACTACAATCACGTGACTACAAGCAGAAGATTTCACCAACGTTAGGACAATGTTGTCTGGGGGATTTGAAAAGGTTGAGACCATTAGTAGGCCAACCTTACAAAAACGGGTTTGGGTTGATATCACCCCCTGACGGGTTTGGGTTGATATCACCCACAGCACAGCCAGAGGGGAATAAAACGATGAAGGCAGGCTTGGAATCGTATCACGTAAGTTCTATTTATAGACTCGCTACGTCACACCATACAGAGCAGTCGTGTGGTATTTGGTAGGTCACGGGGAGTTGGGTAATACGTCACAGGCCAGCAATGTAAGTAGGTCACATGAACCAACAAGGAAATAATTCTCATGGGCTAACTAAGACATCAACACCATTATCGACGGATGGACTAACAATTGATTTAAACTACTTCACCTGCTTATTCAAACGTCTGATGCTAGTGAATTAAAAGGCAGTGTGGTTTGTTGACAAGCTTTAGGGTTCGCTAAAAGCTTTAGGGTTCGCTAAAAGCTTTTCAATTGTTACAACAACTTGGCCATCGCAAATCTACGTTTGTTTCTGGCCCTAAGGTCAACTAATCTTTGTGGTCATTGGCGGTCAAGATTTGTGTCATTGTCGGTCAAGATTTGTTCCATTGTCGGTCAAAATTTGTGTCTTATTGATGAACAGATACCGCTCTAGTATCGAATACCTTACTCGAGTAATCGATTCCCCTACACACGGACATGAGTAATCGATTCCCCTACACACCGACATGATTAAAGTTAGGACACGAGAAGAAGTTCTCAAGCATGCGCAGATATGTCATTTACCTAACGTAGTTCTCCCCCTCCCCCTCCCACCTAGGTAAAGTGTCCCTTGTGTACACGGTAACCACGTGGTGAACTACCCACAACAGTGTGACTCATGGCAGAGTTGCTGGTAACGTCAGGGGCGATAAGAAACCACAACATTGCTGGTTAAAATTATCGCCCTTTGGTCCCGCCTGTAGCTGTGATTGTACAACAAGGAGTAGATAATGCACGTCTATTTCAGTCTTTTTATACATAGCAACAGGACAACGCCATTGTTCGACCTTGACTTTGATCCCCCCCCCCCCTCCCCCGGCCGACCATATCCCGTGTCAGAATTTGAAATTGTCTTCAGTTGGCCGACTCCGAGAAGCTCGGTTAATGGCGTCGTTACGTCAACACGAGGCGTCATAAATCACGCGCGTCAGGGCGGGATGCGAGTCTGTCAATGTGGTGTCTTGTGGGGACACCTGGGGTCAGGTAGGGTGTGACGTCACGTGTGGGGTCAAGTAAGATGTGACGTATCTGAAAAATTCGTTGCATCAACATTTTTGGGGCAATTGTGACAAAATAGTCACGGGGGGGGGGGGGGGGGGTAGGGTGAGGGGCAGTCAGTCTAAAATCTAGCGGGGATGTGGAGGTGGGGGATTGCCGCCATTTAACGGTTGCTTGGGGTCTGTTGACACGGACCATCGTCTGCTCCGTCGGGCAGGTGAGGACATGTTGACTTGTACGGGACGGGGGTCGGGCTACCAACAGGAAGTACACCAGGGGTCAGACTGGGTCAATAGTAGCTCGTAGGTCACTCATACGTCACAAGTTATTAGGTCAGATCATTAGCACCAAATTAGTTGTCCCCCATTTCCACCCCCCCCCCCCCCCCTCACCCACCTCATCCAGAGCCAATAAAATTATGCGCTGTACACAAAAGACGACGAAACGAACCATAACTCATTGGATTGTGACGTCACCCAAAGGTTTACACGCAGCAGACAATCATGTCGTTTGGTAACCTGTCCCTTCCCGCCATTGTCTACCATCTGTGTGACCAGACGACACCTGTGACCTACACACTGTCCGGTCGTCTAGCCAACACGTGTTACGCCCAGACACGACAAGCGTGACGTGTCTGTTGGAGGCGACGATTTTACTCGGCCGTTAGACACACGGATGGTCAGACGGTCAGTCACAAAAACTGTTTCAAACAGACCCCACGTAACAATGCGACTGTGTGTGTGTGTGTGTGTGTGTGTTATGTGAACGTGAATAATTTAACAGGTAAAAAAAAAACTTCAACACAAAGATCCTCACAGTGAGTCTGACAGTGACCCTTCGAAAAGCCGCCTCAACAAGGGACGCAACATGTCAAGAATCTTTTAAACACCTGAATATATATTATAAACATGGATGCTAAAAATAGATCGCTGCTCTTTCTAATGTCAACCGGTGGAGGTTGTATCTTTGTACGAGGTGGAGGTTGTATCTTTGTACGAGGTGGAGGTTGTATCTTTGTACGAGGTGGAGGTTGTATCTTTGTACGAGGTGGAGGTTGTATCTTTGTACGAGGTGGAGGTTGTATCTTTGTACGAGGTGGAGGTTGTATCTTTGTACGAGACCGTTGTCGAGTGGACGGCACGTGCTGTAGAACATGAATATTCAAAGGTTTCTTTCTGCGCTCAGTGGCGGCAAGGGCTCGCGTGCTGCCTCGAATAACAGCTGGTTTGTTTTGTTGGCTAATGGGGCAGAGAGTGAACACTCATTGTGGTCACCCACGTCAAGTGTCACATCAGGAGTACACATGTCAAGTGTGACGTCATGAGTACTGACTATTGTTTACTTCCTTCTGACTGCTCACAGCGTATCTCAAATTGTCGAGACGGGGGGCTTAATTAACAGGACAATTAACTTTTAGCTGGTACTTTGTGTATTTATAAATACATTGTGTTTTTTTCGTGAGGTCGACGCTTTCCTCAGTAATGCTATACCTGGAGGGGGGGGGGGGGGGCGGACACCGTTAAAAGTATATATTTTCTATATAAATTATATACATTTCATTTCGTTCGGGGGGGGGGGGGGGGCGGTAGAATTTTTTCGGGGGGAGGGGGGGGGGGGGCTAAGCCCCCACCCCACCTCGAAGAGATGCCTGGAAGAAACTCTGTAACGAACACATCCCATACACCACGGACGAAAATTAACAACTCCCTCCCTCCCCCACCCCCACCCAGATAACAGGTATCGTGTGGCCCCAGGCAGCTATTTTAGGACGTTGGTATGTTCATTCAGTTTACGGCTAGGTGTACCACATCATGGCACTGTACCGGCTAATTAGTGGACCAGATCATGGCACTGTACCGGCTAATTAGTGGACCGGATCATGGCACTGTACCGGCTAATTAGTTGACCAGATCATGGCACTGTACCGGCTAATTAGTGGAGCACATCATGGCACTGTACCGGCTAATTAGTGGAGCACATCATGACACTGTACCGGCTAATTAGTGGGAAAGATCATGGCACTGTACCGGCTAATTAGTGGGAAAGATCATGGCACTGTACCGGCTAATTAGTGGACCGGATCATGGCACTGTACCGGCTAATTAGTGGACCGGATCATGGCACTGTACCGGCTAATTAGTGGACCGGATCATGGCACTGTACCGGCTAATTAGTGGACCGGATCATGGCACTGTACCGGCTAATTAGTGGACCGGATCATGGCACTGTACCGGCTAATTAGTGGACCGGATCATGGCACTGTACCGGCTAATTAGTGGACCGGATCATGGCACTGTACCGGCTAATTAGTGGACCGGATCATGGCACTGTACCGGCTAATTAGTGGACCGGATCATGGCACTGTACCGGCTAATTAGTGGACCGGATCATGACACTGTACCGGCTAATTAGTGGACCGGATCATGACATTGTACTGGATAATTAGTTGACCAGATTACAGAACGGAGCAGCGTGGATTCGAACTTGGTACCCTAGTGTTGCACAGACGTACATGTATGGTGCTGGCAGAGAGTACAGATATAAAGGCTAGTGGTCACTCACTGAGTACAGATATAAAGGCTAGTACTCACTCACTGAGTACAGATATAAAGGCTAGTGCTCACTCACTGAGTACAGATATAAAGGCTAGTACTCACTCACTGAGTACAGATATAAAGGCTAGTACTCACTCACTGAGTACAGATATAAAGGCTAGTGCTCACTCACTGAGTACAGATATAAAGGCTGGTGCTCACTCACTGAGTACAGATATAAAGGCTAGTACTCACTCACTGAGTACAGATATAAAGGCTAGTGCTCACTCACTGAGTACAGATATAAAGGCTAGTACTCACTCACTGAGTACAGATATAAAGGCTAGTACTCACTCACTGAGTACAGATATAAAGGCTAGTGCTCACTCACTGAGTACAGATATAAAGGCTGGTGCTCACTCACTGAGTACAGATATAAAGGCTAGTGCTCACTCACTGAGTACAGATATAAAGGCTGGTGCTCACTCACTGAGTACAGATATAAAGGCTAGTACTCACTCACTGAGTACAGATATAAAGGCTGGTGGTCACTCTACAGATATAAAGGCTAGTACTCACTCACTGAGTACAGATATAAAGGCTGGTGCTCACTGCGTGTTGAGTGTGCGAACACAGACCTGACCTGCTCAATGAGAGAATACCAACGCCACACAAGGAAACTCACAAATCACTGCCTTTCTAGCCCTAATTAGCCCTTAATTATTCTTTAATTAGCTAGCGGTCAGGTGAGTCACGACTATAATGGCACAGATACAGGACAAATCTTTGACCAGTCAGTGAGTGATGTAATATGTTGGCTCAAGTGTCCAGTCATTAGTGCTAATTGGATGTGAGGTGTGTTACATAACTGTTGGGCTGTTCATTAGCAGCGGATGTTACATCATAGAGGCTTGACCAGAACACGTCACCAGAGTGGTCAGCAGATGTGGAGCTCTACTTAATGGACATGCAGTATGTCATCAGAAACAAGGGCCCCAAGTTGACAATTAAGTCAGTCAGAATGTAGGTCATGTGATGATCACGTGATGAGGAATCTGAGCAAATAATATGTGACACTTGAGATAGTGAGCTATGTGTGAGTCAAATATTGTGTGACACTTGAGATAGTGAGCTATGTGTGAGCCAAATATTGAGCCAGGCAGTAAAAGTAAAAAATTCCACAAACCACAATAGCCCTCATAACCACGGGGTCCATTAATTAAGTCCCAACTTGAGACCACGGGGTCCATTAATGAAGTCACAACATGAGACCACGGGGTCCATTAATGAAGTCACAACATGAGACCACGGGGTCCATTAATGAAGTCACAACTTGAGTTCTGTTAAACCCTAACGTCCCCCGTTTGCCGAGGCCGTAAACACGAGTTTTTTATTTTTATTTTGAGTGATTCTAATTAATTATTTCATTATTTAGTTCTAATTAATTAATTATTTAATTATTCGACGTGAAACAATGCTCACCATTTCTGCGCGAAGTTTCTCCATAGCAAGATCTACTCCGCTTCTTTGTCGTCTGCTAGACCTGCTGTCGTCTGAGCCCTGAGATAGAGAAGACGACGACGAGGTCGGCGAGGATGCAGCAGACGATGATGATGATGAGGATGTGTCTGAGAGGCTGTCCCTCCAGCGTGTTTTCATGCTGTTGGCCACCACCACGCGAGAGTTGTAGAACTCGCGACACCTGTTGGACAGTTCGATGGCCGCCGTGTACTTGTCGCTGGCGTCTAGCCTCCAACTGCCGCACAGTCGGTTGTCGGGGTTCGAGTCCACCCCAGGCACTTGAAGATAGTTGCTGTTATAGTTATCCTCCATAGTTCAGTTCACACACAGATACAATAATCAAGTTTGAAGGAATAAATTATATTAAAACTTTTTTTTTTCAATAAATAAAATGAATTCAATCCATGAATACCAAAGAATTATACCGCGAGTTTATGAGAGTATCCTGGAATGTCCTAAGTTTATGAATGGTGTGAATACTTTAGTCAATGAAACCTCACGCGTACACTGCGGTGTTGTTTTCTGTTCTGGCTGTTCACAGCAGACGACCGGAGTATATCAGTCGCAGCGCCCCCTTGCGTCTGCTTCACACGGCGCAGCGCGCGCCGCACGAGATAAAAGATTTGTTTGTACCGTTTTTATTTTTAGAGTGAAGCAATTTTAGATCAGGGTTGGAACTTTTCCCAGGGAAAATTGGCACATGTCCCTGCTGTTGTTTCAGTCGGGATTAAATTTTTAAATTTTAAACTGCGAGTCTACAGCAGGTGATTTAAAAATATTTTCATGAATGAATCAATTCACTTGACTTAGATGGCTGAGTATCCCACGTATATCAGCAGGGTGCAGACGGTAAAGTAAGTTGAAAATTGATGAAAGGTCACTACACAGTTCGTCACGATTACCCCCCCCCCCCCGAACGAAATATAATATATGTAGAAAATACACACATTTATTACTGTCATATACCCCCCCCCCAGTCCACACACAAATTTAGACAGCCCACCCCCGAAAGTTTCAAGAGCCCCCCTTCAGCCCCGGGGGAAAAAGTCTGAAAGAAACACTGCCAACAGATATTCTTCTCTAATGATGATAGACCAACGTTCGAACAAGTGACCAACAAGCAAGACTGACCAATCTAAAGACATGCACCAACTTGGCACCATGTGAGACATGTGACCATCACTAGGACAATGGACGTTTTAGGGAGGCTAGAATGACGTCAGTAGAATGACGTCAGAAGAATGGTTCGAAATCTAGGAAATGAAAACATTCGGGGAAAGCTGTTACTAAAAATAATTGCGTCCAGTGAATTGATAAGTTTTAACCAACGATCACTCGAGTTATCACGATAGTCCCACATAACTTCCTGTCACAGGCGGGAATTTCCTCGCTAGCAGAAGTCACGGACAGGTGATTGTTGTTACCTGGGAATTCTTGCCTGGAATTTCTCTAGTGGGGAGATACCATTGTACATGCCCCCCCCCCCCCAAACACACACACACACAAAACAGAAACTCTGGTTAGAATTACCATAAGGAGCAGCTGGTGGTTACTGATACAGCCAGCTTGTGTATTTTCTCTCGTACTTTCTCTCGTACTTTCTCTCGTACTTTCTCTGATACTTTCTCTGGTACTTTCTCTAGTACTTTCTCTGGTACTTTACTTTCTCTTGTACTTTACTTTCTCTGGTACTTTACTTTCTCTGGTACTTTCTCTGGTACTTTCCTTTCTCTGGTACTTTCTATGGTACTTTACTTTCTCTGGTACTTTCTCTGGTACTTTCTCTGGTACTTTACTTTCTCTGGTACTTTACTTTCTCTGGTACTTTCTCTGGTACTTTCTCTGGTACTTTCTCTGGTACTTTACTTTCTCTGGTACTTTACTTTCTCTGGTACTTTACTTTCTCTGGTACTTTACTTTCTCTGGTACTTTCCTTTCTCTGGTACTTTACTTTCTCTGGTACTTTACTTTCTCTCGTACTTTACTTTCTCTGGTACTTTACTTTCTCTGGTACTTTACTTTCTCTGGTACTTTCTCTGGTACTTTACTTTCTCTGGTACTTTACTTTCTCTGGTACTTTCTCTAGTACTTTACTTTCTCTGGTACTTTACTTTCTCTGGTACTTTACTTTCTCTGGTACTTTACTTTCTCTGGTACTTTACTTTCTCTGGTACTTTACTTTCTCTGGTACTTTCTCTGGTACTTTACTTTCTCTGGTACTTTACTTTCTCTGGTACTTTCTCTAGTACTTTACTTTCTCTGGTACTTTACTTTCTCTGGTACTTTACTTTCTCTGGTACTTTACTTTCTCTGGTACTTTACTTTCTCTGGTACTTTCTCTGGTACTTTACTTTCACTGGTACTTTCTCTGGTACTTTACTTTCTCTGGTACTTTACTTTCTCTGGTACTTTCTCTAGTACTTTACTTTCTCTGGTACTTTACTTTCTCTGGTACTTTACTTTCTCTGGTACTTTACTTTCTCTGGTACTTTCTCTGGTACTTTACTTTCTCTGGTACTTTCTCTGGTACTTTACTTTCTCTGGTACCATCGCCAGCCTACGCCGAAAGTAAAATGTATGTCGAGGTCATTGACCTGAGCCCAGATTAAAATAGTCTGGCTAATCTAAGCTCTCGCCATATGTCTGTCCACTCTCAGCACTCCGTCAGTGTTAAATATTTCATCGTCTAGTCCGCTGTCTCGACATAGAATAGGTAACCAAACTTATTTCTCATGGTGCCCCCTCCCCCACATACTTTTTTTTGTTTCCTTGCACGTAAACTATTGTGTGCGCCTCTACTGTGCGTATTATTATTGCGTATGTTTACAGTGTAAATGTTTTCAGTGCGTATTTTTACGTTCCGTATTTTCCGCTTATGTGAATGCTGGGGCTTGGCTTTCTGCTGAATGCTCACAGCCTAGACTCTAGACTCTAGACTCAGACTCAGACTCTAGACTCTAGACTCTAGACTCTAGACTCTAGACTCTAGACTCTAGACTCTAGACTCTAGACTCTAGACTCTAGACTCTAGACTCTAGACCATCCCTGAACATTTCAATACATAACATCTATACTATAGTGACGCCATTGTTTTAGCGCCCCCCTCCCCCCTCACCGAGCTGGTGTATGTGGCAGGCCGACACCTCAGGTCACGTGATGGAGTTGTGAATGAACCGCCCCAGGCCGCGTACAACAACATTCCACGAGATGGTGTGCGGGGGTGGGAGAGATATCCCATAATTTCACGTGTACCGATGGATCTTGACTAACAAGAGCACGGTTGTCTTATAGCCCACATTCCACAGATGTTCTAGAAAGTTCCTTGGCTAAACAAACATGGAAGGAGCGGCTCACACAGTTTTTAAATGTAATGGGGGGGTCGTCATTAAATACTGCCCCCCCCCCCTCTCTTTCCCATCACCGCCTCATTTTTTAACAAGTCACCTGCCCCCCCCCCCCCCCCCCCTACTATTGTTTTTTTCCAACTGGATACTGACCCAAGTCCGACCCCCACCCGACCGATCCTTATTTATTGGTGCCATTTTTTCTTCCAAATATTTTTTGCTCCGGGAAGGGGAGGGGGCGACAACAATGTGGTAAAAGTATGTGTTTTCTATATAAATTTCATTTCGTTAGCCCCCCCCCCCCCCCCTCCCGAAAAATGCCTGGAAGAGACTCTGATTGGTGGCCCTACCCCACCTTTTTTTTGGCTACGGCACCCCACACTTTCGTGCCCCCCCCCCCTTTATGATTTTGACATCAGGATTAGCCTACACTGATTGTGAGACCACGTTAAACCTACCATTGATTGTGAGACCACGTTAAACCTACCATTGAGACCACGTTAAACCTACCATTGATTGTGAGACCACGTTAAACCTACCATTGATTGTGAGACCACGTTAAACCTACCATTGAGACCACGTTAAACCTACCATTGAGACCACATTAAACCTACCATTGATTGTGAGACCACATTAAACCTACCATTGATTGTGAGACCACGTTAAATCTACCATTGATTGTGAGACCACATTAAACCTACCATTGATTGTGAGACCACGTTAAACCTACCATTGAGACCACGTTAAACCTACCATTGATTGTGAGACCACGTTAAACCTACCATTGAGACCACGTTAAACCTACCATTGATTGTGAGACCACATTAAACCTACCATTGATTGTGAGACCACATTAAACCTACCATTGATTGTGAGACCACGTTAAACCTACCATTGATTGTGAGACCACATTAAACCTACCATTGATTGTGAGACCACGTTAAACCTACCATTGATTGTGAGACCACGTTAAACCTACCATTGAGACCACGTTAAATCTACCATTAAACCTACTCTGCTGGCCACTGACATGTCGATCCCTTATCTCACGCCACAACTATGTCCACAGGTTCACAGAGCACCCAATCGGCAACAATCAGGATAGATCCCCACCTTCAACTTGTGAATGGACGAGCCTCGGTCAATATCCGCTCCCACGCAGACCGGGTAAGTTTTTGATACGGTCTGTCTGATTGGCTGACACTGCATGTTCCATGCTCGTTGATTGGATGGATGTCTAAACTAGGCTTTTTGTTTTTCGGAGTTTGTAGTCCGCGTGTTAATGACCTCTAGTGATAGAGATTGTAGGTAAAAAAGTCACAGGAAAAAAGTCACAGGAAAAAAGCCACAGGAAAAAGTCACAGGAAAAAAAAATCAAGTATTTAGTTTATTTGCTTGGAATTCATTAATACGTTTATGAACTAAGTGCAAATAAATATACAATGTAAACATTTTAGATATAATATGTGCATAGGTTGCTTTTGTGTGGTAATGTTTATAACACACGAAAAATATTTAGCCTAAAGCAGGGGTTCCCAACCTTTTTTTACTCTAGAGCACATACTAAAATATCGGTAGGGTGGCAGGCACCACCTATTTTAAATTGACAAACTCCTTCCAGAGGCGTAGCGACCCTTCCCGTCACCCGGGGACAAAACTTTCGATTTGCACCCCCCCCCCCCCTCCTCAAACATTCGATTTGAAATGTTTATGAAAAAAATTCTGTCTCTGTCTCTAGTGAGAGGCGGGCACATACGAATCGTTCGGCGGGCGCCATGGCGCCCGCGGGCACGGGGTTGGGAACCCCTGACCTAAAGTATAAAGGTTTTGATTCCGTTAAAAACATAAAATTTAGTATAATTTATATTTAGTATAATTAATTAGAGCTCGTCAAACTAAGATGGTGAAATGGTAAGCCGAGAAGTCACGTGAACAAGTAGAGGGAACCAGAGTAACAGGAAAAAGTTGAGGGAACCAGAGTAACGGGAACAATTTGAGGGAACAAGTTGAGGGAACAAGTTTGAGAGAACCAGAGTCACGTGAACAAGTTGAGGGAACCAAAATCTGACCACACCGGAATAAAGCCTCACCAAAATCTGGCAACCCCGAACGAGATGGATTTTATATAGTAAACATACACTTTTACTAGTGTCCGCCCCCGAAAAATGTAGACCCCCCCCCCCGAAAATTTCAAGTGCCCCCCCCCCCCCCCCGGAGA